TGACAGTGAGATGGGGTCGGACATGTATGTGAATTAGGTTGATTATATCTCGTTTATGTAAATTAATTTAATGTTATTTCAATATGTCGTCTTCTTTTTAGAATCTTTGTTTTCTAATATCAAAGTGTATTATGTTTATCTTGTTTCATTGTTTCATGAATGTTTATATATTGATTACCTTCTGTATAATTAAACGTATTTTTTAGATTTTGCTATCATTATGTGTTGTATATATATACTATATGTTTTGTATATATATAGTTTATGTTTTGAATCTGTCAAGACATGTTTATCTGATATATACATATAGTATATATATATATATATATATATTAGTGAAAATTTCACGAACAACAATTTTTTTTGATGTATATATATAGTATATGTTTTGAATCTGTCAGGACATGTTTATCTGATGTATATATAGTATATATATTAGTGAAAATTTCACGAATAACAATTGTTTTCTTTTTCCAGCCCGACTATTTTCTTTCCCAGCCCGATCGGTGTTTTTTTTTTCAGCTAGATGGACGAGGTCGATGAACAGAAAATCCCGCTTGAAATGAATTTGTAACCCTGAATTGTAGGTATCATATTGATTTTTTTAAAAAAAGATTCCGTTTTTTTTTTCGTAGTTTCCGCCGAAATTGATTGCATTTTCAAACTTAAATAAATAGAGAGAGAAACCGATCAGCAGGAGATAGAGAGAGACAGAGTAAGATCGTAGATGTTAAATAAAAATCACATTGAAGTTCCCTTTTAATTAAAATTTCTATTGCACGTATATATGTAAATATTTCTTACATAGAGTCCATACGTGTAAATGTCCCGATTTGAAATTGTATACTTCTGCAATCGATTTTAATTAAATGGGCCATAATTGAAAATGAAATGCCATTCATGACTCTCCAGCGATCTTGGGACACCCAATTATGTTTTCAAGTCAAAGCAAAGTCCGATTGTCAGGATTATTTGCTTGGACTAAGTGGGCTACTGCTCATGGAAAATTTCTTTTGGGGCTTTGTCTACTAAATTTTGAGATGAAATTGGGCCATCTATTAATCTCTTTAATCGTTTGGAAGATGTGCATTGAATTTAGAAATGCTTAAGCCCAATACTACTTTATCTCAAAATCTCATAGGACGCCCAATAATTGGCCCAGTCATATAACTAAAGGGTTTCGTGACTCATTTACTCAAAGACACGTTATCCGTGAACAAGTCTCGAGGGAGCATTTGTAAATAACAAAAATTTGTGGCCAATCAGATGATGCCACGTGGAAATTAATTTATTAAATATCAACACATATTGTCTATTTATATTTTAGGAATTTCCAAATATTTAATTCTTAAATTTGAATAGTTCATTAATTGATATTTTAATATTTTAATACTTGACCATTCAAATAATATCAAGTGTCAAATCCTTAACCTTCGTAAATAAATCATATCTTCTAGAATATCTTAGAAGATTTAAGTGGATATCTAGAAGATCTTATGTGAATCATCATGGACCAATCAAATCGCGTCCTATGATTCTTAAATTTGGTAGGATTCTCTCTTCTACACCTATAAATAGAGGCTCTCCCTAATGTCAAAACACATCATAATTCATACTCAAGTTCAAGAGCTCTAGAGAACTCTCTCGACGAGATTCAACTTTTTTTAAAGATTCAAAGTCGTTCTTGAAGATTCGAAGAAAGACTCAAGCACGTTCAAGCTCAAAACCGACGTTTAATCCGGAAACAAGCTGTCAAGCCTCCGAATTACGTTCGTATTCAAGTTCATGTTCAAGAGATCTAGAGATTTTCTCGACAAGATTCAAGTGTTCTTGAAGATTCAAAGGCGTTCTTGAAAATTTGAAGCAAGATTCAAGCGCGTTCAAACTCAAGACTGGCATTCAATCAGGAAACAAGTTGCGAAGCCTCCGAATAATGTTAGTAAATTCAAAGCCAGCGTAGAGAAGATTCAAGATCTACTTTGCGGCAAAGACTAAGGATTCGCGTTCTTCGTGTTCTTGGGATATAACAGCGTTTGATCAGAGAAAAAGCTCTCAAGCCCTCGGTTTAACGTTAATCCAAGTCAAATCAAGTCAAGGAGAAGATCAAGCTGAAGATTTCGCTCCAAGACTTAAAATTGTTTGTAAGAAGAATCAGAGGAGAAAATAGAGATTGTAACCTGCTATATTATTTTGATTCAAGAAATTCATTCGAAAATATTTTTCGTGTTTTTAAATTCAATACACGAAATTTGTGGTTACAGGGTTAATTAAGACAAAAATTATTACATTATATTAATTAACCATACTATTTTTATTGATTCGTATAATATTTATTATCAAAATTAATAATTATATTTTACGCTAAATGGTTTATGAAAGTTACATGAACAAAAAAGATTATATTTTTTTCTCCGATTCAATGATTGTTTTATAAATTAATTAATTTGTTTTAATGTCATAGTAATTGGACCCCAAACAAACATCATCTTTTCCCCTTTCTTCCTCCTCAAACCCTAGCGCAGCCTCCTCGTTTTGTAGCCGTTTGAACTCCCTTGCAGGTCGTCGGCCGTCCAGCAGATGTCCGTCGCTCTCCCTCGGTTATGCTAACCCTGATCTGTCGCCTGCTCTGTTCGGTTGGGCCGTCTGAAGGATTTGGTTTTGGAGGTCGGGCTCAGATGCGGGGCTCTTCTGGTTCGGGTCGTGGGGCGGAGCTAATCGAGGGAGAGGCTGGGTGCACCGATCTCGGTCCTGGTAGGGTCTTTGCCTCATCTGATGTCCCCCTCTCTTCGGCTGGTCGGGACCGGGATTCTGCACTCGCTGAGCAGCACCGGATTCTGCTTCGTCCTTCTGTTTTCGGCAAGGTTGGGGGAGGTAACTTCTGTTGGTGCATCTTTGACTCGGTTTCGTTTTTTGTCCTTGACCAGCAGCTCCTTTGCTCTCTTGCCGACGGCCGGGGCGTGAGATTGGTAGTGGGGCTCCCCTGCTTCGACCTTGGGTGCTGGGTTTCGGTAGGTGTAGGGTGGGCTGGCTTGAGAGGTGTGGTTTTTCCACTTCGGGATTGGTTGTGGGCGGCGATTTTCGGGGTAGTGTCGGCGAGGCCGAGCCGTGTAGCTTTTTGCCTCACGTGACTGGAAATTGGACCGACATTCTGGATGGTCCCGGGTTATGAGACTCCGTCTTGCTAGGCCTTAAGCAGTGGCGGGCGGTCGGTCTTATTTCCTGGTATTGTCTTGGTGTTGGTTTGTCTGCTGTCTTCCGGTGGTATCTGTGGAAGGAGGCAGTGCCTTTCTTTTTAGTTCCTTTTTGTTGTCTTGTGTTGTAGGTTGTGTTTTGGTTTGAGTTTGTGTTTGTGTTTTTTTGGTCTTGTTTTTTAGGTTTGGGCCGTTGGCCTCGGTTCTGATTCCCCCGTGGGGGGCGTATCTATTCTCCTGTGGGGAGCGTTCTTAGTTGGTGTGTTGTTGTTTTGTTTTTAGTTGTGTGATGTGTGTTTCTATTCTAGCGTGGCTAGCGAGGATCTAGGCGGTCATTCGATCCGTCCTCCCAGTTTCTAGTTCCGGGTTGTATTATTCAGCCTTGGGTTGCTTTCTTGCACAATTGTGCGTTTTGATATATAATATCTCTATCGTTTCGGCAAAAAAAAATAGTAATTGTTTAAAATCGTAATAGCAATTGTTATAATAAATTTAATATTTTCTAACTATTTAATTGGTCATGATCCCTAAAAATTATAAAAGTTATATTATTCATAACTTTATGCATTCAATATAGTGATTCATATGCAATCAAATCGTTATGTACTATTAACAAATGATCAAATTTTAAAACATAATACAATTATCTAACTTATAATTTTAATATTATATGCATAACTTTTAATACTCTATGTGTAAACTATAATATTGTTATCAAACTTACAATTTAATATTACATCCATACAAATAACTTATAATATTTTATTTACATATGTGTCAATGCACATGATCGAATACTAATAATATATGCATAGCAACGTGGATATGCCAATATTTGCATACTATTTAATATATCTCTTATGTAATGTATTTAATGGTATTAATGGATCATAAATGATGTGATTTTATTTGCTATGTAATAATATTTTAATAATCTGTATTAATCTTTGATATATGATGTATTCATCCATCTGTCACTTAATGTCCAATTTGATTCATTGGCTATGTTTGGTAGCAAATAAGCTAGCTTATAGCTTATTTGGTTAATTTATAAGCTCTCTGTATTCAAATAAGTCTCGTTTGGTAGGACGAGCTTTTTTAAAAAGATCGAGTTTATTTGATAAGCTTCTGTAGGTAACTTTTCAAATAAGCTAGTTGATTTGTTTATTACAGCCTAGCTTATCAACTAATTTTACCAAACACTTTTATCATATAAGCTAACTTTTTAGCTATAATCATAAGCTATAAACTATAAGCTAAAAAATTACTGATAAACTATAATTAGTGTAGCTTATCAGCTTGTTTTAACAAACATATCTTATCTCCATTAAATATTTGATTATTTTAGTTTTTCCTCTTACAGTTCTCTTTTTAGTTTTCCTTTTGTATAATCTTTGTAAGTCAAGAAGTCTTCATTTTTAGACTATACAAACTTTTATTTCATCAAATCAAACTAGTATTCGACCTGTGCATTTGCACAGATATATAAATAAAACATTGTGAGTATTTATATGCATATAATGATTAATGATTTTTGTCAAATTTACAATTAAAGGAGCTGAAATATTTATTTTTTTGAATTGCGTTTTATCATATTGGATGTAATGTATATTTTGGTATGTATCTTTTTTCCAAATAAGGCTATTTCTATGCAAGAAATAATTCGCTCTAATCAATTTTAACAGTCCGTTTAGAATGTATTCGTATTAATTATTTATTTAAAAATTTCAAATACGTTTTTTATTTTCCAAGAGAAGTTAATTGAAATATAACCACAACAATAACATCTACTCACGTTAAATAGTCAACACATTATATGGTCAGTTGTAAATAAATAAATAATTTAAAATAATTTTTGTAATTTTGAAGTGATTAGTGTATTGATTATCTAATAATTAAATGAGAAGTTAAATAAATACAAAGTAACGGTTTTTGGAGGTAAAAAATTATTTTGCCACATATGTATAATTTAATAAGTTTTATTAAATGTTCATGAGCCAACAATTATATATATATATATATGTATATATATATATATAGAAGTGCGCTCAAATGAGAATGAATCACAATGAAAGAAATAAAAATGAATCTGAATC